TTTTTTTTTTACTATAGTCGCCTCAATGGTCTGAGGGACAGTGACTGGCCCCTGTTTAAAAAGTTTGAGGACTCCTGGTGTAAAGGAATTCCTGATGTAAATATAGGATATTTAGATTGTTTGCTCACTGTCCCTTTGGTGGATTTGAAAAAAGTTTAGAAAAAGGGAGATATTTAATTTAGAGCATTTACTAGTCGAAGGAGTGACATTTGTATGAAGCACATTGAAAAATTTCAAACAAAATATAGTTCAGAAAAAATAACACATAAAACACTCCACATAATTCTTCTCCCAATTGAATAAGGAACCTTACACATGGACATCATATTCCACACTTTATTTTTAATATTATTTTATTATTGATTTTTTTTAGAGAGAGAGGAAAGGAGACATAGATACAGAGATAGAGATAGATAGATAGATAGATTATAGATCATAGATAGATAAGTAGGCAGATAGAGAGATAGAAGCATCAATGTGACTGCTTCTTGTATGCACCACACCTGGGATGGAACCCACAACCTAGGTATATGCTCTGACCTGGAATCAAACACACAACACTTTTTTGGTGCACAGGAGGATGCTCAACCAACTGAGCCATTGGGCCAGGTCAATATTCCACACTTTAATGCAGCATGAAAAATATTTTTGTATAGTAATAAATTGTATGACTATTTTTTGCTTCATCATATTTAAGGTCATCTCTAACTCTAACTGTATTAGATCACTTTATTTATTATCCATGAAGACGCTTCTTGAAAACATGTATTGAGTAGTCAATTTTTGCCAGTGACTAAGGTAGGCATGTGGACACACAGCTGAATAACTGAATGAAGACTATAATACTAGGATACCCGGTATAAAACATACTAGCATGTTAAAATCTAATGCTATCCTATATAATAAAAGTATAATATGCAAATTGACCAAATGGCGGAACAACCGGTCACTATGACTTGCACTGACAACTAGGGGGCAGATGCTCAATGCAGGAGCTGCCCCCTGGTGGTCACTGTGCTCCCAAAGGGTAGTGCCACTCAGCCAGAAGCCGGGCTCATGGCTGGCAAGTGCAGCAGCTGTGATGGAAGCCTCTCCCGCCTCCATTGCAGTGGGCAGTAAGGAGTGAGGAGTCCGGACTGTGAAAGACCTGGACCGTGAGAGGGAAGTCTGACTACGGACATTCCCCAAGGGATCCCAGACTGTGAGAGGGTGCAGGCCGGGCTGAAGGACCCCCTCCCCAGTGCATGAATCTTGTGAACCAGGCCTCTAGTAGAAAATAATGATGAACATATAAGTGAAAACTTTGGTCTCAGATTTTTCTCTACAATAAAATTATGTAAATGGCCTTATAGCCAAATATAGTTTGTTCCTAGTGGTAGTATAATTCATGACTGTTCTTTCAGAAAAACAATAAAAAAATTACTTGGAATGATATATATCATAAGAGAATAAATTATGCTAAAGTAATTCATGTGAACCCATGGTATAAATGAATATTTCCAATTCCTTACAGTTCAAAGATTGAATGAATTTGTGTCAGACTTCTGACTCTGAGGTTAGAAACCTGCATTCCTGGACATTTCTTCAGCCTAGTACAGTTGGCCCTTGAAAAGATTACCTGCCAAGGAATCTTTGCAGGGCCCTCTTTATGTCATTGTTCCTCAGACTGTAGATGAAGGGGTTCAGCATGGGTGTGACCACAGTGTACATAACTGAGGCTGTTGCATTGTGGGTAGCAGTGGAGCTGAGGTAAACTCCAAGGCTTGTACCATAAAATAAGGAGACAACTGAGAGATGAGACGCACAGGTAGAAAATGCTTTGTACTTCCCCTGAGCTGATGGGATTTCACATATGGAGGCAATGATCTTAGAGTAAGAGTAAAGGATCCCAGCAAGGGGACCACCACCCAGTAGCACAGTTATAAAATACATCACCATGTTATTAAGAAAGGTGTCGGAACAGGCAATTTGAACCACCTGACGGAGTTCACAGAAAAAGTGGGGAATTTCTAAGTCTGAGCAGAAGCGCAGACCAAACACCATTAAGCTTTCTAGCAAGGAATTCAGGACACTCATGATCCAGGACACCAGAACCAGCAGTCCACAGCGCCGGGGGTTCATGATGACCATGTAGTGCAGGGGGTGGCAGATGGCCACAAACCGGTCATAGGCCATCACGGTCAGGATAAAGTTGTCCAACACAGCAAAGAGTATGAAAAAATATATCTGGGTGATACAGCCTTCATAGGTGATAACTTTGCTTTGTGTCTGGATGTTCCATAGCATCTTTGGGATGGTGGTGGAGGTGAAACAGATGTCTACCAAGGACAGGTTGGAGAGGAAGAAGTACATGGGCGTGTGGAGGTGGGAGTCTGAGCTGATGGCCAGGATGATGAGCAGGTTTCCCAACACAGTGATCAGGTACATGGAGAGGAAAAGCCCAAATATGAGGGGCTGCAGTTCCAGTGCCTGTGAAAATCCCAGGAGAAGAAATTCTGAAATTTGTGTACCATTGCCTGGTTCCATGTGTTGGAGGTGACTATTAAATAAATACATAAATACATAAATAAATAAATAAATAAATAAATAAATAATAGTCACATTAGCAAGCATTAGTAACTGAGAATAAATGACACATTTATTTTTTAGAGTCAGAAAAATAATATAATGTCTATTTTTGTTGTGTGATCTGGCTCCCATTAATATTTCTCTATTGGTATTCCTCATTAGAATTTCCTTTTCTAACATCTACCTGTTTTTCAAAGGTAATGTATACTGCTGTTTTACTGAGGATATCTTTCATGCATTTGAGACATATATATTGACTATAGACTATGTTCTAGGCACTGTTCAGAGTATAGGATGCTGAAAAACAGAAGTCTACAAACTAATGATGGAGCAATAATATCCTATATAATAAAGAGGTAACATGCAAATTGACCATCATTCCAACACAGAAGATGGCCGCCCCCATGTGGTCAAAGATGGCCACCCCATGTGGACACAAGATGGCCAGCAGGGGAGGGTCGTTGTGGGCAATCAGGCTAGCAGGGGAGGGCAGTTGGGAAGGACCAGGCCTGAAAGGGAGGGCAGTGGGGGTGACCAGGCCTGCAATGGTGGGCAGTGGGGGGGGGACCCAGGCCTGCAGGGGATGGCAGTTGGGGGTGACCAGGCATGCAGGGGAGGGCAGTTAGGGGTGACCAGGCCAGCAGGGGAGGGCAGTTGGGGGTGACCAGGCCAGCAGGGGAAGGCAGTTAGGGGCAACCAGGCTGGCAAGGGAGAAAAGTTAAGGATGGGCAGCTGGGGGGCAACTAGGCCTGCAGGGGAGGACAGTTAGGGGAAATTGGGCAGGCAGGGGAGCAGTTAGGCATTGGTCAGGCTGGCAGGGAGTAGTTAGGGGGTGATCAGGCTGGCAGGTAGAAGCAGTTAGGGGCAATCAGGCAGGCAGGCAGGGAGGCGAGTGG